CGAGCCCCGGCTGGGGCTCGGCTCTCCCCCCAGCGGCCAGAGCGCCGCGCCGCCCCCCTCCAGGTGCCGCCCCAAGCACCAGCTTGGGTGCCTGGTGCCTGGAGCCGGCCCTGGTCCTCCTGTGGGATTGTTCTTCCTTTTGAGTTTGCATACATATAGCTAACCACAGGGTTAAGATTGCTTCACTAAGCTAAGGTGAAACTTAAGCTGCTCTAAGAATCACAGTCAATGGAGCTCCTGAGATGAAAAATACTATTCAGAATGAGATCACTGTATGAGGATCTTATTTTGAATCGGATGGGTTTTATTGCGGTATGCAAGCATAGCTCAAGGCTGTACTTATGTGTTTGTCAAACAGAGAGAAAGGGGAGAGTGCACATCATATCAAAAACCTTCAACCAACCAACCCAACCAACAAATAAAAGATTGATTTATGAAACAGACCTTTTCAGCCGTGCCTGCAGACACTGTGTCTACAGAAGCACCCATTTGTGCATACAGAAACACACGTTAACATGTAAACGCTCACTTTGTAGAAAAGCATTTGAGACAAAAAGGCAGGTTTTTCTTTCACTTGCACCAGTTTTGCACCATTTGAGTCCCATGAAGCTACTCCTCTGCTTCACTCCAGCATAAGTGATATCTGAATCAGGCCCATGAAGAATGGAATAATTAGAAGCATAGGCCATTAATATACAAGTTTGAATATTTCTTATTTTGATGTTTTGTAATATGAATATAAGCCTTTATCCCCTAATGTTTTAAAGCAAATCAAGTGCTTGTAAAAGGTGCTCGACTGATGACAGTGGACAAGGAAATCCGCACTTTGTCCACAGAACAGGCACAGCATGGGAAGTGGTACAGTCTTCCCTAACACTGCCCCCACACTGACACAGAGGGGTGACTTCTAGAAGATAGTTCAGTTTTATTCTCAGCCAATTCTTGGCCTCTCTTCTTACACTGCTAATTGGGAGGGTGGTTTTTGTGATAAGGGGACACCTGTACAACGGGAACTACACTTTACATGAAATAAGGATGTACTTATTCTTCTCCTCAAATGCAAAAATCTCATGACTGGGCAAATCTGGACAACATAGAACAGAGAACACAGTGGGACTGGTGGTGGGTTTGAGTTGAGAGACGTGTGCTTACAGCAACATACGTATTATAGTCTTGATCCTCCTAATTCACTGTGCCCAGGCAGAGTGCTACTGGCCTCAGTGGGTGCAAGGCTCTCTGTACTAGTGCATCTGTTTGCAGGGTTAGGATTTCAATTGAAAGTCATTACACTTTACTGTATTAGGTGCATACAAAAAGTTATCATCACTATCGAAAACTTGTGTAAGGGTGACAGAGAAGAAGATGGGACTCATGAAAAGATGACCTACTCAGGACTATGGTGTTTCCTGCAACTGGAAATTCAGATGATTAATTTGTTTGGAAACTCAGTACAAAAGCCGAGTGCTATGATTTGGTCTCATGTCTTCAAAGAATAAGATTTAACTCTCATCAAACATCCACTTTGTACAGGTTATTAATGGATTAAAACATTATCTTAATTGCATTTAAAGCCCATATGGAAAATAAGCATGGTGAAAAGCTATTAGATATGCATTGAAAATTACAGCAGATCCATAGTTTAAAGTGTTCAGAGATATAAACTTAAAGATACAACTTTCTAAAATAATTAGAACTGTATTTCTCATAAAATCCCCAAGACAGGTATACAGTCAATAAGTCTCTATGGAGAAATCTGTAAACTAACAAGAGACCTTAGTAATATATGGAGGGGTTGTAGTGTTACTTCAGGATTAAATGTGAACTGAAAAGTAATGTCAAAAGTGAGGCATGTATAGACTTACATTTAGACTTCAAGGACCTGGCTCACAGCCCATTAAGTCAGTGGAAAGACTCCCACTGATATTAACGGGCATGGGATCAGGCCTTAATTGTTCCTTCTGATGAAGTTGTGGAAGGAATTTCCCCAGACTACAACCAGAAATCCTGTACAACCATTGTCTCTTCTAGTATTGATGCTATTCCAGACTTCTTGGGTCTTTAGTGAACCCAGAGACTGATTTTCTTTTAAGGAAAATTAAGACTCCCAGCGTCTGGTAGTGCAATGGGTGCACCCATTTCTGTCTCATATAGGATTTTACCAATGTGCTTTTCCTATTAAATGTAGAGAAGGATGAATGCCATTTTTATATGAATATACTGGCCATGCCAGCTGTGAGTACTGTAAATACTAGAGTAGATCTGGTCTTGAAAGCATTTCCTCAAAAAAAAAAAAAAAAAAAAAAAAGGGGGTGGGAAAAAAATAAAATGAAAGGAAAAAAAAAAAAAAAACAGAACAATATAAAAAAATAAATATTCATAAAAAAAAAAAAAAAAAAAAAAAGGCTTGGTTGATAGTTACTGTGATGGCAGCAAAGCAAAATATTTTAAGAAATAAGGTAAGGCTGTTCTGATGAAGGCTGAATGAATAGTGCTCCAAATGTAAGTGGCTTCCTATGGGTTGGGCACCTATGTAGTAGGTTGCAGGACTGAGGAGAGCTATTTGATTATTATTAATACATATTAATACTATTGCAGCAGTGCCGTAAGATTCCAGTCTGGGTTGGGGCCCTATTTTGCTAGGTACTGTGCAAACACATAAGGAAACACAATTCAGAGACTATGGGTAAAATTCTCATGTGGAGTAAATCTACCTAGCTCCATTGAAGTCAGTAGAGCTACACCAGTTTACATTAGCTGAGGATATAGCCCTATGTTCAAAAGATACTGATATTGATTTACAGGGAAAAATACATAACACTACCTCAATTATCTATACAGTGGAGCCATCTTACAGGGAAGTGTTTATTCTCCACAAAATGATTTGATTATGGCCCAAAGTCTGAAACGTGCACTGCCTAACTACTCAGGTGGCGTGCTTGATCATCTGTTTGGGTTAAAGGGGAACTGTACCCCTCTCCTCTAATCTGTAATGTGGCCACTACTGTAGTCTAAGGGCTGCAGAGGCCCGCACTGGAGATACAGCTGCAGTCCCCAGGCAGAATTCTGGTTGGCCCAGGCAGAATTTCCCTTAGGGATTCCTTGAGAATGCACACTGGAGCCACCCTGGCAGGTTAGGGTCATGGCCCTGCCCTCATTCTGCCTTTCTTCAGGCGGATAGCATCAATGCAGAATGCTGGGAGAGAGGACAGCACACATTTCCTCAGCAACATTGTGGCTGCTCCTTCTAGATGGATCACAAGTTGAGGCGGTTTCTTGCACGTCTCCCTCTCATTCTTACACACCTGCCCAAAAGTAGGCCAACATTTAGCCATTGGTTAGGGTCCTATTTGCATTTTAATACTAACTGGGAAAAACACTTGCTCCAGGCTTATGATTTTCCTTTTTATTTTGTTGAACATGTTCTGATATTGCCAACGTAATTTGGGTTGGGAAGTTACTGAGAAAGGGATTTTGGCTGGCAGGATAATGTGTCTTAAATCATGTATGTTATGGGCCACATTTCCAGCCTAATTATAAACAGGACTCTAATGCTGCATATGCAAAAGTATGTATGGAAATAATAGTGTGTGTAACAATGCACCTGCAGTTTGCGCCCACAAAATTGGAGGTCAGTGTCTGGCCATGTGCATGTGTATGACTGTAATGGACAATTTTTAGTAGGCACCATGAACCAAGGATTTACTGAACTACTATTCATTTTCCACAGGCCATCAAATGGTAATGACTTTCAGTCATAACTGACTTGAGCCAAATCAAACGTGTGACCTACAGTAGAGATGAGACTTTTCCCTCAATCACTTTTGCTAACCCTGAAGCTGACCTATCACATGCTTCCACAGATATACTAACACCACAAGGGGTTGGTTTGCTGCATGTATCTATGTGAATTTTGGCTATAGTGAGTTTATTGCACAATTTCCTAAATACATTTTGACCCAGCTAGACCTATTGTATATTTGTGATGCCGAGTTGGTGGTTTTCATGTTTACTTTACCGCTACCATAACCCTGAGAGGAGAAAGAGATTATTACGTTAGCTTGTCTATCACTAGTGAACAGAGAAAACTTTTAAAAATATACAATACTTCAAAATTGCTGGAGGATGTGAATTAAAACCCCCAAACCAAGACATATGAAGGGCTATATCCTCAACTGGTACAGCTCCCTATGGTGACTTACATCAGCCAAGGATCTGTCCCCAAGACTATCGTTTTTGCTAATAGCAGCTTATGATTTTGGAATAACCTACATAAGCAGCGTTGCCATTAATGAGGTCATTTCACACTTGTACCAATCATACTTTTATACCACCACACACCATCATGTATTTTGTTTACACCATACACTTTAGAGAAAAGCTGATTTTAAAAACTTCATAGTTACTTCCCATCCAACCTCTAAAGCCAGGTTGCCATTATACAATCTGTCACTTTTTAAAAACCGTAAACTATTAACTTACTCCAGTCACTTTGTGTATGAGCTGACACTGAACACTCTGGATATAGCCTTTCCTCTGAGGGACTTTACAAAATTAAGCATCATAGTGCCCCTGCAAGTTATGTATTTTCATAATTGTTCCACAGAGGGTATATTGATGCATAGAGAGGTTAAGGCCAAAATTTAAAATCTGAGTGCCTCAAGTCAGGCACTGAAATCAGTAGCTCATCATCTAAATATTTCATCTGATTTTCATATATGCTGAGCACTGTAACTTCCACTGTTGTAACATCATCTTTATCTTGTAATACGGCCCTGAAGTCCTAAAATTCCCTCTGCTGGGGGCTAAACAACATTGAGTTCTTGTTAATAAAGGAGTCTCCCTGTCCCTGTAGGATGCCTGGGATAAGAAGATTCCAGGAACGTTAGATGCTAACATTAAAGAAAAACAAGAATTTTGCAGCATTAAGAAAAAAAATCGTGACCTGATACTTAAAGCGGACTTATGTGATGGGGAAGAAGATAAATGTTTATAGCTATTACCTTGGGCTGAGGTCAGGGGGACCAATGGTGTTCAGTGTTGAAAGGTGCAGTTTTAGGTTTTTCTCTCTCTTTCTGGAGTAGTAGTGGAGTTCAGTTTCATGTCTGGTTCTTGCAGGGTTTGAACTGCAAACTCGGATAGGGGAGTGAAAGGGCACCGTTCCTGAGGCCAACTGTTTCAAGTTTATCCCTAGATAGCTTTTATTGCTTCCAGCCTTCTTCTCTTGGGATGAGGTTGTGCTCCTTGTGTGGATTGGAGAAAGAATGACATTCTCCTCTTCTTCTCCTTCATCCTCATCTTCCTCGTCTTCCACAATTGATGGGAGTCTCTTGTTTATGCTGCCATTTCCCTTGGGCTCTGTCTAAAATAGTGGATAATTCATATTAATATAAACTTCAAAGCCCAGCACTGCAGGGACAGCTGATTTGCTCTGATGTTCATACTTGAATAAAACCAAATCCATTAGAGCTTTTATTTTTCATTAGAACAAATGTTATTTTGGGACCCACCTGTTATTTATTTCTCTCTCTTCACGTATATATACACAAAAGCCCTCTAGTAACATAACCAGTGAACTCACTGCAAATGTATTTTGTTACTGAGAAATGTTGCCTGGCTTTAGTTCTTACAAGCCACCCAGAGTACATATACTTTAATAGGTTTCTCTCTGTCTTTTGAGGAGTTAGTTCTTCTGAAGTTAATGCTGTCAGACTGTTGATAAATTAAGAATGGGTTTTAGGTAAGTAACGTATATATCCAGAGTCCAGTATATGGCCAGTACAGTCAGTTATAAGGAGTGATACAGTTCACTTAGGACCTGAATGCATCCTGGTTCCTCCTCTTAGTCACACTAAGTGGGACCTTACACTCTGATCTTACTACCTTACAGCCAGACCCCTGAGCTCCCGCAGAGACCTATTAATGCACAACAGTGTAACAGGATTACCTTCTGAAGAGCTAACTCATCAAAAGATAGAGATGAATTTATTAAAGAATACAGACTGTAGGATGGACTGTAGGCGCTTGTTATAGGAGGCAGAGGGGGCCTAATGGACTCCAAAGACCTGCCACTCTACTGCTGGGTGACCTTGGGCAAATCATGTCTCTGTGTCTCAGTTCCCCAGTTGTAAAATAGGAATAATGTATGCCTTTGTAAATCACTTTGATATCTACTAATGAAAATGGCTATATAAGAGTTATGCATTATTAATTATTATTATTTCTTGGAAACAAAATACATGTGCAGTGAATTGCAGAGGTCTGCCCATCTGGAGTTTATTTCCAGGTCAGGGCCTTGCTTCACAAGTAATCCCATTTATTCCCATGCTACAACTTGTGGGGCAAGGTATTATCACTATGAGTAGCAGAATCAGGTCCTACGTCATTCTTACAAACTCCACACATCTCAAATAAATAGGACAGCCAAATTCAACTGAGCCCAAAAGAAACCTTTTCTGAAAATAGTACTGGAGCATTTTCAGTGTGATTGAGAACAGGAAGTAGCAAAAATCTCACATAGGAGTCTGTTCTGAAGAGATTTCCAGCCCAATTGTCCACAATCATATCAGTTTGGATAGTTTGGGTAAAGATACAAATTTTGGGTGAACAATCTTTTGAGATTTGCCCATCACTCCTTGTCCTCACATTTTACAGCATGAGTTTAATTTTGCTATTCAACTTGCACTATCAGTTTACTGAGTAAACATTATACAATTATTATTGTTAATGCAGATACAATGAGCCAGACCTTTTCAATCTGACATGTCCAAAAAGTCAAGAATATAAAATGTAATAGTAAAGGCCTGTCTGTCAAGAAGATAATAATGGCCTCCCTGAGAACTATTCTGCTATATAGAAGTCTGATGAACAAACTGTACAGAACTCCGATATAAGAAAGAACTTTATGTAAATTTAACTTTCCACGTCTATCATTTGGGTTGAGTAAACATTCCCGGCTCATCTTTAAAACGAATATGCATTAATGGAACATCCAAATCCAGCATCTGGATGCTAAGATGCCTAAGCATTTAGGCATAGAAAATGGACATTTATGAGGTACATCTAACAGCAGTTTTAGCATTCAAATGCAGGATCCTATTTAAGGGCCTGATTCAAAACCCACTGACATCAGTGGGAGCTTTTCCATTGGTTTAAGAGGGCTTTGGATCAGGTCCTAGGCACTTATGTTTCAAAGTTAAGCTCATCATATTTAAAATCAGACAATCATACCTGAGATAGTGTAGACTTGTTTGATAATCTTGATATTACCTGAGGAGGGAAAAAATGTAGTAGTAGCAGAAAATAAGTGAATCTGCACAGATTTGGCTTCCAAAGGCAATTTTATATGATGGAACAGCAAGGAAATCTCATAATGAAACAAATGTATATTCCACAAATTAAATTCAAAATGCCACTGATGATAATGAAACGTCTTTGAAACAGACTCTGTCAGGATCAAGTTGTTGACCAGAAAATGTACCTTCCATTTTAAAGAAATAGGGAATTCCTGTAAAATTAACATTTTACTCCAAAGTAAAACAAGACTAGGGACATGACCCTGCACTGGACATACATGGATGGATCTCTGCACAGGGAGGCCCAATGATTTTGATAGGGCTCCATGTAGGCACAGAGTTCGTTGTAGGATCGGTCCTTAAATAATGTAGGAATCTAGAACAGTGACAGGTATGCCAACAATTTTCAAAAATGGATCCCTAAAGTTAGGCTCCAAACTCCCACAGAAAGTCAAACTACCATCTGTGCCTTTGAAAATCTCCTCTTTAGGCTCCAAAATAAGTGTCCTGATTTTCAAAAGTGCTGACTACCCAGCATCTCCCTTTGAAATCAGAGGGATCTGTGGGATGCTCAGTCTTTCTGAAAATTATACTATTTACATAGTTGTCTACATGCAAACGCTAGGTAACATTTTCAAAGATTAAGGGCCAGATTTACAAAGGTATTTATGGGTCTAAAAATGCAGATAGGCGGCTAGTAGGATTTACCGAAGTGCCTAAGCAAGGTAGGCACCTAAGTCCCATTTACTTTTAATCTTTGTAAATCTAGCCCTCAAGCCCAGATCCTCAAAATTATTTGACTTCGATGGGATTTAAGCATCTGAATAACGTAGAGGATTTGGGCCAATTCAAAAGTAACTTAGGCACTTAGGAGCATAAGTCACATTGAAAGTCAAGGGATCTTCAGAGCATAAATAACTTAAGTGCTTTTGAATATTTTACTTCAGCAGATTAATTTTAGTAACCCATTTTTGAAAATCTTGGTTGTTTTGTCATTAGATCAGAGCTCTTGCAGTTTATAAGGCTATTAGGCAAATAGTTCTGTAATTACTCATAAAAATGAAGTCATTATTATTGCCACACAAATGTGTGCTTCCCCAATGTTTAATTTTGTCTAAGCAGTAAACCTATTCCACATCTGCCTAGCCATCAGAGTGTGGATTAATCAGACATGTTGCTTACATAAACTTAGCAATAATTCTCAATACACTGAAAAGCAGAATAACCAGAATCATTACATTGTGTAAATAAAGCAAAAATATGGTCCTGCTCCTCCTGTGTCAGCGAGAGAAAATGTCAGGCAGCCCTAACTGGAGCCCTGATATGGTCAGATGTCAAGCCCTTTCGGCTCGGATTGTAATCAATGTCAGTGGAAGGAACTCAGCACTTGGGCCCTAGATAGTTTGGAGCAATGGAAGCATTCAGTGTGCTAAATGCTATAGTTTAAAAAAGTTCAGTTTAATGTGACACTAAAGGCCTGACTTGCATGCACACCTGCACCCAGACACACCTGGTATTAATTAGATTAATTTAATATAGGGGTGTATAGTGCCTAGCAATTTGGGGCCTCTAGACACTACTGCAGTATAAGTGTTAAATATATGTTGATATAATATTAATTGATATCTATAAAACCAGCCACATGAATTAGCAGTTTAACAAACAGAAATATGAAAATATTAATTTGCCTGCCAGAATCTTGCTTGGGTTTTACCAAGAAAGGACTTGTGTGGGTGCGCATTGTTAAATGTGGGCAAAGATCTTCTCCTCTTTTGAACTTTCTTCCCCCAGTATAAAGGAGAGTTATATGTGCAGCCTTGACAATAAGGAAATACAAACTGCTGCATGGAATGGCTTTAGCTTTTATGTATGCTTTCCCGAAGCCTGCTGGAATTGCATGCATTCAGCTGGGCTGCAGGGGCTGAACAGCATTTCCCCTGCAGGGAATCCACCTGACTGCCAGGGATTAATGCTGTGCCAGCAATGAGTGCACTGAACCTTTCTTCTCCACCACTCTCACTGTATCCTGCTGGTAACCCAGCTACTGTGGATTTGCCTGAGGGAGGAGGAGGAGAGAGCAAGCAGCTGCCTCAGAGCATTGCTAGTAGGGAAAGGGAAATAATGGGGGTCAGAAGATGTATGGAGGTACAGGCTGGTGAAAGGTAGCTCAAGGGAGGGACAGAGGTTCAAGGGGGAGCAGATTGTTGGTGACAGGTTCCCTCTTGAGAATGTCCCCCATCCTCTCCTCCCATTGGTTTCCCTTATTCTGTCCATACAGCCTGTTCTCTCTTTTGTCCCTGGCCCCATAGTTGGGCAGTTTCAGTTTGAATCAACACATTTGGATAAGTTATGTGTGCAGGAACAAGCTAATCCATTTCATTGAAGCATGCCAAAGTAAAGAACATTATAATTGCATATCTCTGGTATTCTAATACTTCATTAATAGCTGACAAAGATAAATATTGTGTCCGTTTTACATAAAGGTGGGGCCTGAGCTCATTTGCTTTGATAGAAATGATGCTCGACGGTAAACATTTTTGAGACCCACACACCTAATAGATTGACCTGAAAGTGGGCAGAGTTTTCTGAAAAAGAGGCATTCTAAGTCTCTTCTGACTCTCCTCTCCAAAAATATAATTCTCAGAGAGAAAAAGAATACTAATATACAAGGGCATGAACTAAGAGCAGGAAAGTTAAAAACTGCAGTATCCACATAACCAGGGTTTCACCTTCCTGCATTTGACTGCATAAATTTAGTATCAGTGGAATTATCACAGGACCTGAGGAACTGTCCTAATTTCCAATCTTCTAAAGCATTTTTTTGCTTTAGGACAATACACAGATTTCCTTAAAGTGTTGTGTGGCTTCCATGAAAAGAAAGAGGACACACAATTGTACATACTGTATGCTGTGTTTAAAAAAGAAGTAAGGTTAAGGTTATAAACACATTTTGAAAACAAAGTTAAAGAGGTATTTCCCAAATAGACATATTAGGAAAATGTCACTAATGTTAATGTGAGTCATGCTAAAGATGCTCAGAGGATCTGATTCAGATTTCAAATACAGCACATGTATCCTTTTGTATCTTGTAAAACTTTGTACACAACACAGTAACTGATTTCACAAGATACAGTGGTAATAGACTAAGTACCAAGATCAGAATCAAGTCCAGTCTCAATTTGATGTTTCCCTAGGATTGTTTAGAATCTTAATGTATACATTTTGGAATTTGGTACATTCGGTGCAACATTTGTATTCTCTTCTATCAATGTTCATTGTAATTAAGGTTAAGATTTTGTCACAGTTATTTTTAGTAAAAGTCACAGACTGGTCATGGTCAATAAGCAATAATTCACATAAGCCCAAGTCCTGTTGCCCAGGGGGTGGTGGTGGGGGGAGGTTTGACAGCCCGAGCCCCTCTGCCCAGGGGGGTAGGGTGACTGACTCGCTGTCCGGGGTTGAGAGCCCAAGCCCCACAATCCAGGGCTTACCCCACCGACCAGGGCTGACAGCCCAAGCCCCCCGCCGGGACTGAAGTCACCAAAAATCACAGAATCTGTGACCGCCATTATGAACTCCTATCCTTAATTATAAGGCCAAGAATGGTACTTCCACGTCAGAAAAAGCTGATTATTCAATGCAGGAAGTAAATCCAGATCTTTTAATCATCTGGAGGTGATTTTTTTCTGGACTGAGGTTATAAAATGGTAACCCCCGGTGGTATAGATATCTGGTAGATCATCTATGGGGATTTTCAGGGTAAGCCAGGGAAAATGTAAATAATATATATACAATCTGTTCAAGAGGGATTGTAAATCATATTTTGGAAAAAATGAATTTAGAGGTACAGCCAGTATCCAAATTTTAGGGATAATGAGATAAACATTAGAGTATATAGATTTGCTGGGCTTGAAAGGGTAGGGTTTGATGGATCATGTTGTCTTGTTCTGGCTTAGAAGGTTCAATATTCTTCATAGCAGGGCTTGAGTCTGAGCTTTAGGAACAAAGCATGCGTATAGATTTACTGAGTTCTTTGTAAGTCTGGGTTCCTAGAATATGTTAATAATATTTTGCATTTTAGGGAACAAAAGGCTAAAACACTGTGTCAGAAAAGGATTTGGAAGCACAAACTGGAATATTAATATGCTTAGTTAGTATTAAGAAGTACACAAAACTGTTTAAGGATGTTGGCAATATGTAAAAATATAGATCAAATGCCATATGCTCAGTTCATAGGGATTTTACTGACTGGTAATGGAAAATATATGAGCACATAACAAGGGATTACCATATCACTGAAAAGCTTAATGCCTCACACATGTTCATCCCCTCAGTTTTCCTTAATCAGGAAGTTCCTCAATGAAATATAATAAATCCCTTAAATCACAGCCCATTGACAGAAATACATGCTACAGGAGGTCTTAGGTTAGCTATAATTGTTACTGTAACTACACTCCATAATTTAAAAGCATATTTTCATGGGCATTTGGAAATGTCTCCTGTCCCAATATCTTCTGCATTTTAATTTTTTGGTTTATCAGCTCTCTCTCTCTCTCACTCTGGCAGCCTCCTCCCTCTTACCTTTTTTACACTGCCTCTGGCTGAATGGAGAATAAATAAATTCCCTAGAAACTGATGTCTTCAGCACTCTGGGTTTGTACAGTATGCTGTGTAAGCAGCAAGAGCTGAGTGAATAATCTGTATTGAGTACCTTATTCTGGAGTTTAGTTTCTGATTGTGAATTGTCCACCAGCAACATATAACTTTCTCCCATTAATTCATTATTATATTCAAAATTATTCCTGGAATAATTTTGACAAATAATCATGATTCTATTGATTTTGTGTGAGTATTTAAAATGTGAGTTATGTTGGTTAGTTTTTATTGGCCATGTAGGTCACAGAGTTTCTTTTCTCTGACTGGATGCATATAATGTTTAGATTTAGATTTCTGGTGCCAACACTCACGTTTACA